TAGAAACAACGAGGTGATGACACTCAGATTTTGAAAACGAAAATGGCTGACTGATTTGGCATTTTTGACTGACATCACAATGCACTTAAACACCGTTAACTTGGAGCTTCAAGGTAAAGGAAAAACTATTATTGAGATGATTAGCGCAGTAAACGCATTCAAAAGTAAATTGCAACTTATGATAGATCAACTGAAAAGAAAGGATCTGAAACATTTTCCGTCTTTGAAAGCAAGGATTCCTCAGTTGAATTATGATACGTATGAGGCTGAATTATCAAATATTTTGGGACAATTCGAAATGCGTTTTTATGATTGCAGTAAATAGGAAAATATAGCATCATTTATGAGTTATCCTTTTTCATGTAAAAACATTGAGGAATTAGCTACTGAAATAGCAAGTCAGTTTAATATGAACTCATGTTCTGTTGAAAATGAGTTGGTGCAGATTATATCAGATATACATCTCAAAGCTACAGCATCTGATACAAATTTCTGGTGTTTTATATCTGAAGATAAATATCCGAATGTAAGGCAAATCGCCCTTCAACTGACGGCATTTTTTGGGTCAACTTACTTGTGCGAGTCTGCATTTTCTGAAATGAAGATAATTAAGTCAAAATATCGCAATCGACTAACTGACGATCATATGTCATCATGCTTGCGATTAGCACTCAGTGGTTACGTACCATCTTATGAAAAGTATGCTGAGGACATGCAGTGCCACGCTTCAACATCCAAAGCCACTCCTTAGTTAAGTTTAACACCATATGCAACTCTTTTGTTTTGTAACAACCAATAAACTCGCAATTTTGAATAACTATGCGTTTTTTCATTGATATTGTAGAGAAGAACCTAACTAAACCTAACACAAACCTTGACTAAAATAATGTACCTATATTGTGCAGAAAGCTAATATCTATATATGCTACGGTACACCCTACCTAGGTAGGTAGGGTGTATCGTGTATGTACGACAACCCTGCATCACACACACTTGCAGCCTCTCAGAGTCGATCGTAAGTAGTCTAAAAATATTGAGGTAGATCGCCAGCAGTTCAAGTTTGAGCACCCCTGCCTTAATCCTTAATGGTGAGTGTTCTGGGGCAGTGTAAAAGACGTCAAATGAATGTCATTTATTTCCGAGAATTGAGAGGTTTCAAACATGGAGTATCTTGAGCAGTATGAATGGTGTTTGGTGTGTGGAAGTACTTTATAAGCGAGAATGGAGCCGCAATATGTTAGTCTCATAAGAAGAATTGCTGTAAATAATTTGAGTGAGTAAGCATGCCATCCATTATGAAAATTGTTGAGCACAGATTTTTTTTCGGATCTATGTTTTATAGGTCAATCTTTTTTGCTTGTTTAAATGCAATGATTTAAAGGTTTGACAATGCACGGAGAGACAGTAGACGAAAAAAGTACTTCGATTTATGATGTAAAATATAATAATCATAATAAACGCTTTTTGTAGTTAGTTCACTTTGTTTTTAAATCAAGGGATTTAATAATATTTTCAGTTCGTATTAGCAATATGTCACACTTGCTGGTTTTTATGTTAATTAATACCCTTGCGAAATTACACGGACAGTGAGTATGATGTAGAGATGGATGAATGTCGAGTAAATCGAAGAAACGGGTCAGACAATGGGGTACATGTAGTCGTTGACAATGAGCTAAGTAGGTAGTATACATCCCATGGAAGATTGCCAACAATCTAACCAGCTTTCTTTGTCCCCCTTAGCGTCAGGTTTCTCAACATTGATCGTACTCGCTTTATTTTGTCTATTGACAATTTTCTTTAAACTGTAACATGTTTTACGTTTTTATGTCAAAATGTATGATGTTTGAAAATCGTTCCTATTAATTTTGATTACCATGTAAGTAAATCCTGCGAAGAACCTTTTGAGCTGGTAAGGTAGAACGAGACAAGGTTCGTAATTTTAGTAAACGTGTTCGGAAAGTTAACGAGATGTAGATGGAGGCAATGGGACTATGGTAATTTCTAAGCAGTGATATTACGATAGCGACTAAATTCCTCTGCGGTTTCCGTTCGTTCTCATTTCGTCCGTTATGAAATCAAATTCGTGTATCAGATTTTGGTTTCCATTTAGCGAGGTTTTTAACCATGTAAAATTGCTTGGCATAAATCTTTTGTCCCAAGACACAACAGAAAATCTGAGAATAAAAATGCCAAAACATTCCTCCCACGTTGATTGGGTCTTAAATTTTATTATAAAAATTTCGCTCTTTAATTAATTATAATCGAATTCGAATCCCGCCCGTGACACTGACGTTTTTATCTCAACCAAATTAAAGATTAATTAATTGAAAAGTAATTACAATTTTTTATTTTGTATTAGTATGCACTACAAAAGCAAATTATGGTATCTTCATTAAAATATGATGGTGATAAATTAGGTGTAAGAAAACATGTAAACTACCTATTTCTATAAATGCTACTTGACTGTAATAAACAATTATTTTAACATTTTTTAATTGTAGGGTGAAAGAACACCTCAAAAGAATTAAGGCACCATTGAATGAACTGATCATGGTTTAGTAATGATGCGAGTATAAAGCCAGGAACACACATACCCGATGCTACACCATGCGACGCTATCCGATGCTACCCGACGCAAATTCACTGTGATTAAAAATTAATTAGTTTTTATTTAAAAAATTAATTTAATGGTTTGGTAGAAAATTAATCAAAACACCGGAATACGATTTTTTGATATAATGAATTTAACTAACAATTTATTGTACTCGCTTCGGCGGTACTTATACTAAAATTGGAACAATTTATTACACGGTTTTGCTGATAAAATGTAATTAACAATTTATTTCATAGTTTTGCTCGTAAAATTGCACCATTTTGTAATGTCGGGTAGCATCAGAACAGGACGCTCTTATTTTTTGTAGTTTTTTTCAAACTAAGTACATGTAATTTTGTCGTTATATTAATTGCATGTTATTTTAATGTAAACCAAATTAAACGAGATCAAAAATGCATAAGTTTTTATAAACATTGTTTAATTATGATGGTTAGGAGTAACTTTATTTAAAACAATTAAGTTTAACAAACAATTTATTAGATGGTTGTGCTCATAAAATTTAACTAACAATTTATTACAAGGTTTTGCTCAAAATAGTGCATTAGGAACAAAAGATGCGTTGCGATTGTGATCGTGATTATTGTGATCATGATTATTGTGATAAACGCTGTGGAGTGTACACGGCGTGTGCTTGCGTCGGATAGATGTGCACTCCCCACCAAAACGTGGCAAGGCGTCGGGTAGCGTCGCATGGCGTAGCATCGGGTAAGTGTGTTCCCGGCTTAAAAGTTGGAAATGAGCATTTCATCCGTTGCAGTTTGCTCCCATCATCACCACTTGGGGGTGGTTCCCTTATCCTATGGGGAAGCATAACATTCCATGGCCTAACGGAACTCGTGATTTTTTGTGGCGGCACTGACAGCTCAGCGCTAAATTGAAAATATTTTGGACGATCATGTTACCCGTACGTTTTCGCTGCTGGTGTGGATTTTATCCTTATGCAGGATCGAACACGACCACATACATCTTGAGAGGTGATAGGTACCTAAATCAGCTCAAAATTTACTTTTGGCCAGCGTGTAGCCCCTATCTCAATCCCATTGAGCACATATGAGACCATGTAGTAGCCATTCGAGGTCGTCCAAATTAGCCATTAACTTTGGAGAATCATAAAGAAGCGCTAATAGAGGAGTGGGAACGACGACCACAATAAAACGCAGGCTTTGTCGGAGAAGTTGCAAAAAATTGCGTTTTGGACATTTTTGTCTGCAAATTTTTCGTTGTTTTCCATTCCTGTTTTGGCACTTTTCTTGTTTTATCATTCCCAGATTTACTCTGATCTTTAGACGATTGTTTACAGCCAAGAAATATGTTTCTTAGAACATAAAAAAAGGAAAAAATTATGAAACATGTCAAAAGTAAAACATTTCAAAAAACGTTCATTCAGTGATCCTTTAATTCTTTCGGGGTATGTATATTGACTTATTTTTTATTTTACAAAACGGTGAAATTCATTTTCAATAAATTGAATGTAATTTCAAAAAGTGTCATTGCATTTTGTAAAAAAGTGAAATTTATCATTAAAATAGTTAATTTAATTTTTTTTTAAATGATTTGCAAAAAGCCAAATTTATTTTGGAAATAGGATAATTTGATTTAGAAAAGGTTGACATTTATGTTCAACAGAATAAATTTATTTTTAAAAAAAGTAAATTTGATTGAGAAAAGGTTGAAATTTATTTTCAATAGAGTAAATTTAATTTGAAAAAAGTAAATTTGATTTGCAGGAAGTGGAAAATTTATATTCAAAAAATGAATTTAATTTAAAAAAGTGAATTTGATTAGGAAAAAAGTAGAGATGTATTTTCAACAATAAATTTAATTTGAAAAGTAGTCAATTTGATTGGGAAAAGTTTAAATTTATTTTTACCGGAAAAAATTTAGTTTAAAAAAAAGTAAATTTGAATTGGAAAAGGTTGAAATTTATTTTTAACAGGTTAAATTGAATTTGAAAAAGAGGAAATTTCATTTGCAGGAAGTGGAAAATTTATTTTTAAAAAGTGAATTTAATTAAAAAAAGTGAATTTGATTAGGGAAAAAATTGAAATTCATTTTCAACAGAGTAAATTTAGTTTGAAAAATAGTAAATTTGTTTTCAGAAGGTTGAAATTTATTTTTTGAAGAATTATTTTAATTTGAATTAACGTAAATTTATAAGCCAAAGGGTGAAATTTATTTTCAGTAGAATAAATTTAAGTTCAAAAAGAGAGAATTTGATTTGCAAAAGGTTGAAATTTATTTTCAAAAGAATTATTTCTTCTCCTGTTGTAAAATTGTGTGTATGAAATATGTGTATTTTTTGAAATTTATAAACATAAACAAAACAGTAAAAATATTCGTTTTCTTTGAGTGCAGGAACACATGTTCTAAAACAACGTAACATTCACAAAAAGCGTAATTAAATAAAATAGTTAAAATGCTGTTATGGTATAGTATATTTTTGGTTAATGTTGCACTTTCTGTTGGGAATGAGAAAATATTTGGAGGGAGATATGCAAAAGAGGGAGAGTTCCCTTTTGTTGTAGCTATTCGAGGCAAACTACTTTGTGCTGGTGCTTTGGTAACAATGTCTAAAGTGGTAACGGCAGCTCATTGCTTTAAATTAGACCAGAACGGCCAAGTCGAAAATATAAATTTAAATGAAACATGGGTCACAGCAGGATCCGTCGACATAGAGAACTTGAGTGATGAGTACGACGAAAGGAAAATAGAAAGGATCTCGGTGCCCCATGGATACAAAGTTGGATCGAGGTTTGGCGGACGACTCGATTCGCACGATGTCGGCTTGGCGTTTTTAAATAATCCATTCTACGTGGGAAGAAAGTTACAAGTTTTGAAAATTGTCTCGAGGAATAAAGCGATATTTAAACAAAAGTGGGACGAACTCGTGGCTAAAAGGACGATATGCTATGCCATGGGCTGGGGCGCGACTGTCTTTTCCCTTAACGATGCTGGTGAAGAGGTCGTATCCAATCCATCTCCTAAATTGAAAGTAATCGAAGTAAGACCTTTGTCAAATCGGAGTTGTCAAGCAGTGTATAAGGCCGAAGATGATATGACGGTGTACGGCGAAGTCTGCGTTGATTCTGTTAAAAGGGCAGAGTCGATCTGCGACGGAGATTCCGGTGGTCCGTTGGTCTGCGATGGCCTCTCTTATGCAATACTCAACCATGGTCCAAGGTGTGGAACTACCTATTATCCACAGGGTTATGTCCTTTTCTGGTACTACTTGGAATTTTTAGGACTCGCTTCTTCTTCATCGATACCGAAGTTCCATCGCTTTCTAATATTTTTTCCTGTCCTAAATAATTATATATAGTGTTTTAAAAATATCGCATTTTTTGCTTAGTGTACAAGTGTAAACTTTTTAGTTTGAAATGTATCATATGTTATAATAGCTTTTTCATCATAGAACAAAAAACACTTCAACAGTTTACTAGTGATCACTTAAATCGGAAAATGCAGTCATACAAGATATCTTTCCCCCCCATCCACCTCCCCGCCATAACTAAGGGAGACCCCATACCGGCGGACCACGGCCACTAAACTAATTCAAATGGGATGCAAGTTTAGGGGATCTTATTGTGCTTAACGTCTTCCTTCGACCTTGCCCTGAAAGGGAAGACCCAAGAAAGAAGGGAATTTTTTTTTTATTATTAATTTATCTAATCTAATAGGTCTCCCCCTTGCTGGTTAATCCTTTTGAACACACTTTCTAATAAATACAATATTTTAATAAATAAATAACAATTATGGGTACAAGGAGTAACCAGCCCGGAATTAAAAGTTCAGGGAAACGCTAAGATCTAACAAGTAACATCATAGGAAGAAAAAAAGAAAAAGAAAGAAAGAAAAAACTAATCAGGTACTTTATCCACTATAGCTCGGCTAACAGGCTTGAGGACCTCAAACGTCCTCTTTTCTTTAACCAGTTCGTTGAGGGTCGGTGGCCAAGTGTGGCGGAAGAGGAGCTTTAGTGGTTCCCTCACACTCAAGGAGGGGGCAGTTGAACAGTCTGTGTTGGACACTGTCATCAACTCCGCAGTCGGGACACAGTGGACTGTTAGCTCTGCGGAATCGGTGGAAGTAAGCGTTGAAATTTCCGTGACCTGTCATTATTTGTGTCATCCAGTAATCTGGTTGAAACCACTTTGCTTTTGCTCGGTCCTCAATACTGGGTAGAAACTCGTGGGTTAGCCTTCCCTTGGTGGTTCTGTCCCATCTTTCCTGCCTTGGGTTGTCTATCCAAACTGTAAGGATCTCCCGGATCTGCTTTCTAGGTGCTGTTCGTAGCCTTTCCCTAACTGACGCATCCAAATTTTCCATTGTTGGCTCCTTTCCATCTCTTAGCTGCCGGATTGCAATTTTACTGTGGAGGACATTGTCTATTGGTGCAGCGGAAGCAAGGACTTGGAGGGCGTGAGTAGGGGCTGTCCTATAAGCTTTAGTCGTTCTCAGGAGCGCTATTCTTTGACTCTGCTCGAGGATGCTTCTACTCCTGCTTTGCAATTTTGTTCCTCCGTACGTGGCAATGGGCAGATATACGCTTTTGTAAGTGATAGAGAGCGCCCTTGGACTCAGCCCCCATTTTGATTTCGCGATCGAGCTTAGTTTCGAGAAGACGCATCTCGTCATTTCTCTGATCTTGATGGCATGGTGTGTAGGACTTAGCCTTTCTCCCAAAACTATGCCTAGGTACTTTACCTTTTCGCTCAGCTTGATTCTTTTCCCTTCGATCTTTATCACGGGGCTTGTACTTAATTTGCCTTTTAGCAATAGCAATTGGCATTTGTCAGGAGCAATTTTTAATTTGGCCTCTTCGCACCATGTTTTGATCGCCGCCACCATTGCTTTTGATTTTTCTTCTAGCTCTTTCTTCGTATCGGTCTCTATGATGGTGAAAAGGTCATCCACGAAAGCGACGAACTGAGTTCCCATTTCTTCCAGCTTTTCCAGGAGGCCGTTGAAGACAACGTTCCAGAAAAGTGGGCCTAGGACTGATCCTTGAGGGCACCCTTTTGTGACATTTTCTGTCGTAACCGTTTGCTTCGTTGCTATCTCAGCCCTTCTTTCGTTAAAATAGCTCACGTTCAATTTGAAAATGTTTTGGGGGATGCCCTTTCTTTTGAGCTCGTTTAAGTCATAACCCGGGACCTTCTTCTTTTTAAGGGAGTCAACCGCAGATTTTATCTCATTAATCGACAGGAGGGACCGTCCTGGTTGGATGGTGGTATTCTGGAATTGTCAATTAGTGTTGAGTTTTTAATTTCCGATCTTTTAAAACAGCTTTTCAACAGTGCTTTTGTCGTTTCTTCGACCGTCAAGGTGTGTTTGCCGTTCACTTTTATGGACTGCAAGGCAATTTCCACTTTTATTTTGTCCATCGCAACCTTGTACGCAATTCCCCTCGGGTTGTCTTTCCCCTCGTTTTCGACAAAACTTTTCCAGCCTTCCGTTCTGCTTTTCCATATTGCATTGGAGTACTGTTTTTTCGCTGAATATTAATCCGTTTTAATGGATTCCGTCAAGGCTGGGTCTCTTGTTCTTTGGTACTCTCTTCTTTTCCTGTTTGTTATAACTTTCAAGACTGTTAATTCCTCGGACCACGAAGGTTTCCCACTCTTTTTCCCTTTCTTTTTTTTGGGGATCGACTTCTCGCTTGCTTTTAGAATGACATTTGTGATAGACTTTGCCATTTTATCGAGATCCGTCTGATTATTAGTTTCTTGGGATTCCAGGTCGTCCTCAATTATTAGTCCTTTAATCATTACCTGATAGCATTCCCAGTTTTGACAGTAAATCTTTCTGTTTCCTATGTTGTTCGGTTGCAGTCCCCAATTTCTATTAGGATTACTGGGGGGTCGCTGCTCGTCCAATCTTCCTTTATTTCCCAGTTCATTATATCATTTAGTAGGGGTCCAGTGGCCAAAGTAACTCACTAGTAAACTGTTGAAGTGTTACTTATTACTTATTAAAAATAATTTTTACATGTGTAACAACTAAAGTTATAATTGAGTTTATTGACAAAAATTTGTATGTTTTTTGTTTGATAGCCGTGAAAAGGGGTACCGGCATTGGTACATACTGGCAATAAATAGTAAACAAAAGACGTAAAGTTCAACCTCTCAAATGAATAGACAGAAAAGTAAATTTACTTTAATATAAGCCCAATGCAACGCTATCCGAAGCCACCAGATGCAAATCCAAAGTCCATTTTTCCATAAAATTGTATTACCTCCGTGCACATTCTGCCCGATGCCACGTTCTGCGATACCCACTGTCCAAATTTTCGTCGGGTAACATCGAGTACAGTCGAACACAAAAGAACCGGACATTCATATTTTTATTCAAACTATATGTATTATTGTCTTTATATTAATTACAATATACTTATATTAATAGAAACCAAATAAATGGCAAATTGAGATTAATAAAAATAATTTTTACATATGTAACAACTTACAGATATGTTTTCATATAATTGAGTTTATTGACAAAATTTTGTATGTTTTTTGTTTGATAGTCGTGAAAAAGGGCAGTGGTCCCGAAATACGTATTGGCAATAAACAGTAAAAAAAAAAGTTGTGAAGTTCCATAAATATCCCCTCAAATGAATAGACAGAAAAATTAATTTATTTTTAATATAAGCCCAATATTTTAAATTTCTAAAAACATGACAGCAGACTCAATTTTATCTATTATATATATTAAATATCACCAAATTTTGAACATGTGATTAGAGATAACATAAATACGTCTAACATTTGGAAAGTTTTGAAAACAGAAGGTTACAAAACCACAAAAAGTAGCTTATAAAGCACTGTGAAATATATTGATTTTGAAGGAGGCCCTTTTCGCTTATTGTAATCTGTGGAAAGAAAATCAGATCGTGAAGTTGAGAATGTGACTTGGGAGGGCGTGTCTAGGTGTAACGATAAATGGTTCATGTTGACTGACCCAACCTATACCTTCGATCTTTCCCCTGGGCCTCATCTTTCTTATGATCAATCTTCTCCGGCTTTGATACACCGCCAACTCTCCGACAACAATCTTCGACCTTCGAAGCTTTGTGAGTCCGGTTTGGATTTTTTTTGACCTCATCGCAGCCTTTATATTTCAATTTTGTTATTGTACATCGTTTTGTTGTTTATTCGTTGAATCCGTCAGTTTAGTATTACATAACATTATTATTAAATTACATCACGTCAGCGTTTCCATAGCAACACCAAAAAACATTATAGTGGCTTTAAGAGAGATAGTAAGAAGGCAAGAAGAGAGTGAGAGAGAGGTAAATAGAGAGTAGAATTGAAGAGAAAAATGAAGTGAGAGTGAATAAAAGATATTGCTAGGAAGAGATCATGAAAGGCCGAAATAAAGAGAGCGAGTGAGCTGGAAATAGATAAATAGAGAGTTTTGCAGAGAGTAAAAAAGAACCGCCTGAAAAAAAACGCTGCAGTGTTCGCCCTTAGTCCGTTTTTCCAGGAGTGCCTCAATAGATCACGAATGACAATTTTCTCTTCCCATACTTTCTATGAGATTTATAAAATGAAAGGTAGAGTATGTTGCCATACTTAACTAAATAAAGGGTCAATAAAACAACGATATACAATGAATTGTTTACATCACAGTCGAATAAGGATAAAAATGGAAACTTAAATATCGCCAATTAATGCAGAATGAGTTTTGTAACGACCTAGTATACAAAATATATATTTTTTCTACCTTTCAAACTCTCTCGGTTATTATTTCTCGATACGCTTCTTCAGAATGCTGCATACTTTCTTCCCTTCTCTTACTTGATTTCAAAATTTCTCTTTTTCTGCGCACACTCTTTCTCTCCGCCTACCTCAATACTTAAAATTCTTTACATCTCTCTGGCTCACATTCTCTCTACTTCTAGCTTTTTCATATTTCTAATTTATATTTCGTACATTCGCCCACATCTCTCAGGATATTCTTTATGTTTCAAACTTTGCAATACAATTTATTTCTTATCTCTATATCCTTCTGCATTTAGCATTCTCACCCCGTATCACCCTGTCTCTCACTCGCTCTCTTTCTTTCCCCCTTCTTGTCCCTCTATCCTTCTTTATATCTTAATTTATTTATTTTTTACGATTTTCTTTCTTTTTTTCTGTATTTTCTTTCTTGCTTTCTTTTTTCTTTATGTACCTTTATTACTTATTATCTCTTTCTTTCATCTTCTTTCTTTTTGTCTGTCTTTCTTTCGGCTTCTTTTCTCAATTTCTTTCTTATATTTATCGATCTGTTTATTTATTTTTCCAGTTTTCTATTATATTTATTTTTCTTTCTCTATCTCTTTTTTTATATCCACACTATTTCACTTGGGAGTCACCCGATCTTGATACATT